CAAAACTTTGAAATTAAATTGTTTAAAATTAAACGGAAAAGTTTTTCCTCCATATTTTTCACTTTTTCTTAACTAAACATAATCGAACACTATCTTCTTGAAAACGATACTTCAAGTGACATTTGTCACTTACTTTTGCTAATCATTTACAAGAATCCAATAATTATTTCGGTAATTAATCGGCATAATTAATATACATATGTACTTATATAAGGTGTGTAATTATATATATGTATATATATAAGGTGATTTTTAAATGTATGTCCATATATTAAGTGATAAGTCTATGCAATACAATAAACAAAAAATGTCATACGAATCTATATCCTACATACTTTAGTTTTTGAGTTATAGACAACTGAAGAGCATGTTCAATATGTCCATTTTGCGCCTCAACTGAATATGCTACAGCATTGAATTCCACATTCCCTCGAAAATACCAACTCTATTTCTCGAATAGTTTCAAATTCAATCTGAATTCTTTCTTGTAGATCGTGTATACTATTCGTCTGAATAGGCAATAAATTTTAAATTGTACCTAAAATGAAAGTTTAATGGATTGCATTTTGTTTAATTCATACTGATAGATATTTTTTTACAAACATTACATAAGATTTAGGCTACTACGATGTGCAATAGCATGTTCTGAAACACAAGATGAACACATTGAATAGTTTCTTCCTTAAATGTATGAATAACAATTTTATAACATACTCTTAATCGCTGAAATGATGTATTTCCGTGATGTATTTCATTTAAAAACAATATTTTTGCCACTTATTTCTGTTTGAATATTTCAAAATTAGATGAAATAATATTGTAAATTGTTGTTACATAATATTATATTGTTTTGTTGCTATTTAAAATTAATATTAATTTTTTTTACACGGTAAAACTCCGTTTATATAATTCCATTTATTCGAACCAAATTTTAATAAATAGCTGATTGAATCTGCTCTATTTAAACATGAACTGCTCTTATATGGAAAAATCAGTGATTATATGGAAAATCAGAAACTTATTACATGAACTCCAATTAGGTTATATGACTCATTTGTAGCCTGAGAAATTTATATAAGAGAAATTGTGTATTATATCTTGTTAAAAATAAGAACCTTTATTATTTAAATTAAAAATGTATCGTTTTCTTATTTACTACATTGCTTTTATTTATTTTAAAAAGTTTTTGAAATGAAAATAGACCTTTATATAAATATCTATTTATATATGTATGCGTATTTAGAAAAACATACAAAGCATCGTACAATAGTTAATTTTAAATTTTTTAAAACCTTCTTTAAAACTTATTTTAACATACAGCGAGGAGCAAAATTGAGTCAATAACAAAAATTTTTAAGAAAAATATTTTTTATTGTTAAATAAAGTATAAAAATATGAAAATAAATTTGACTATCTGATTCTTTATAGTTTTAGGAAACTGAAGCTATTTTTTAACTTTTGAGATAAGGTTTTTTCCTGGCTGAAAAAATTAAAACACATAGAATCAATTTTGCACCAGAATTTTTTCATAGTCAGATTTACAAGCTTTATCGTATCTTAATATTTTGTCCATACGCCATTTGCTTAGATAATAGAATCATGTTTTTAAACATTTCTAAATTATCACAGAAAGATATTTTTTACGAAAATATTAGCAGATATCCAATAAATATTCACACCTGTTCTATAAAATCGTGCATAATGTAATTGCAATATAATAAAGTATCAACACAACCGGTGAAAGGTTGTTACATTCACGAACGTTGCACGGATGTCGGGGCCGGAATCGCCATTTCCGTGAAGGAAAAGAAAAAAAGACGATCACGTTAATGTGCGTCCATTGTTACAGTGTGATCATAAAGTGAGCGTCACGTTTATGCGTTATCTTTTACATATCGCATTAAATTTAAACTAGAGACTCATTAATAACATCCACACAATTGGCATCAGTATATTGTCCCAGTATTGGGATATTGTTAATGTAAATAGATTTTTCAATCGAAGTATAAGTAGATAATCAATTATAATCTTAATACAAAACTGAGGAACGATTGAGAAGAAATAAAAGTTACTATAATACATGTACAATGAGACACAGAATAATAATACTATAATAGCACTATAATAACTACACAGAATGCTATAATACTATAACTACGCAGAATACTATAATAATAATACAATAATACTATAATAACTACACAGACTACTATAATAATAATACTATAATACTATAATGACTACACAGAATGCTATGATAATAATACTATAATACTATAATGACTACACAGAATTCTATAATAATAATACTATAATATTATAATGACTACACAGAATGCTATAATAATAATACTATAATGACTACACAGAATTCTATAATAATAATACTATAATATTATAATGACTACACAGAATGCTATAATAATAATACTATAATGACTACACAGAATTCTATAATAATAATACTATAATATTATAATGACTACACAGAATGCTATAATAATAATACTATGATACTATAATAACTACACAGAATGCTATAATAATAATACTATAACACTATAATAACTACATAGAAATTGTCAACATCAAAATCGAGATCAATATTCAAGAAATCACCTACAAAACGATAAGTTAATGGTCCATTGGATCATTAGCTAGAATTGACTAATATTTATTAACCCTTTTGCTACCATGGACAAGATATCGCGCCACCAACTATGTCAGTTGTGCAATATCACCAACGAGATATCGTATTCTAGAAGCGGTGCTATGAAGCAAGATATCTCATCGGTGACATTGCATAACTAATATAGTTGTGACGAGATATCTCGTCTGCAGTAGCGAAAAGGTTAATAGGAAATGAATGATGTATTGTATGTATAGTACGTAAAATATACAGGATGTTTTGTAACACGTGGAAGGTAGAGCAGATGCTTACTCATGAAAAATACAATTTTTTCATTCGGTCTTGTTCTCGAGAAAATTTAGTTTGAATATTGATGATTTCTAGTTTAGCATCTTTTCTCAAATTTTTGCTATTTCTGTTTTATTTTTATTTATGTTTTATTTAAAAACGCGAAACATTAGATGTTAAAATTGCGAAAAAAGCCGCTAAATTTATCAGTATGCTTGAATTAGCTTAATTTCAGACGTATCAAGAAAGAATAATTAACATGCAATATGATAAAGTTATTTTACGTGCAATATAATATTCTACATGCAGAAATCGGTGAAAAATGTAGAATAAAATTTTTTTATTCGAAGTTTCACATTCAAGAAAACAGACTTTGAATATGTTTCGTTAAAAATTGCCTTGGTACTTAATAAAGTCAGTTCAAACTTCCTTTCGAAAACGAAGCCCTAGATGAAAAAATTTTATTCTATACTTCCGATTTATTTTTTCATAAGGAATGATTCTCACAGTCTGTATATTCTTCAAAACAGCCTGTACATAATCGACTGTAAAATATTACAAAGAATTACATAATTACAGTTTGGGATTATATGAGTGCGAGTTAGGTTGTATCTCTTCATTCTGTCTATAGTAACATGGACTACATGATATATTTTTAAAAAAGCAAGTGTATCAGAAAGCATACCTTTTTATAAGTTTGAAGTACAATATATATTTACAATACGAGACAGTCGATAGAAATTATTACAATCACTAGAACTAAATATTACAGAAAGAAAATTTGTAGAATTATCTGGGAAAAAAATTCAGAGTCATTTAGAAATTAAGAAACATGTCTTTAAATAAAAAATATTGATATCGAAATAAAAATATCGTAACACTAATTCTACCGAATATTTTTATAAAAAATTTGGCTATTTCTTTCTGGAGATTAACATATATATTAATATATGTATATCTACTGTTTTAAAATATTTTATCGTTTAAAAATATTTTAAATGTACGATATTACAAGAAATTCTAGTTAATATTAATGTGCGATATGAATACTTTTTACATCCTCTTCACAAGTAAATATTCTTAAAATATATTCTTATAGAATTTCTAATATTACATATAAAACAACAGAAATACAAACACAGAATAAGAATGTATATGTACAATATATAACAAGCATATGTATATATCAATTGATCAAGCTTCAAACACTCGTTTTAAATACACTTGAATTAATTTCGTTGGGATATGATATGTATTATGTATATGTATCGCACGTAACAGTTGAACAAAGAACGTGGCTAACGAGAATCAAGAATAGGATTCAATACTCTGCTTCTAAAAAAAAAAAAAAAAATATAATACCTCTGTGAACTAGTGATAGATATAAAAAAAAAAAATGTTACTTCCTTTGGCATACATCAAAGCGAATTCGATGAAGCATCACGTCAAAGCTCTGCCTAAAGAAAGTGTCTGCTTCGAGTACCTTTCTACTAAATTCGATAGCACTTCGTATGAAAAGCTTAAAGAGGCTATTTTTATTGAGTACGAAATTCGCAAGTTGATAACGTCAGTTCGAGGGAGCCACGGATCGATATAAAAGTAAAGTATTGACGCAACTTGTCATCTCAATAGATAAATCGTTCGATATATTGTCCTATAAATTATAAAATTTTGTGTATTCGATGACAATGAAATGGTATATAAAATTTCAACTTTTGCATAAGTTTTCTGAGAGTAATCATGTAATGAATTACACAACGCGCTTGAAGTGTAATAAAGCGACAGAATATTTTCACATTTTGCTGTGTATATTTGTAGAAATTTGTTTTTCTTGATATAAATACTAATACAAGTTATATTATCAACCTAAGTTAAACGAACAGAGAAGAAGATCAGAACGAGTTTTTCTTTCGTCTCAACGATGCAATATCATTAAAGACAAATCAACAGTGAGAAAAGATGTTCTGAAAATTACAACTGTCAAAAATATATTATTTAAAGAAAATAAATGTTTCTTTTCTTTCGAGAAATATAATTCTCAATATTAAATCAATAGCCGAACATTGGTATGTCGTTTTCGCAGCACGATGCCGATGGCACCAGATGCGTGAACCTTCAGCACGCTGATCTGGGAGAGAAGGATATCGAGACCATACTCCATTGGCACAATATTTATCGGAACACTGTGGCGAATGGGCATGAGGAAAGAGGAAATCCAGGTCCTCAACGACCGGCGAAGTTCATGATGGAGCTGGTAAGATTTAGTTTAGATCGTGCTTGTGGATATATATATAAAAAATGGCAAAAGTTCGAACATGCTAGTTTATGAACGACTAGTATGAACAACAACCAGGTGTCCAATAGCAGCTGTAAAGAAATTCCAACCTTTTTCAAGAATTTACAGCTAGCTCTTTCCAATTGCTTTGTTTCATAAATCTGTTAGCACCCTCTCGTTTTGCAATCTGACATTTCTACGTGTATATGTATATAGAAGCTCGAGCTATAGAAATTTGAAATTTCGCTAAGACTTCAATTTTGTTACATTTTCACTTTAAAGTAGGAATGGTAGTTCGCAATTTTAAAAAGGTATTACTTCAATAATTTATTTTGAAAATAAAAATGAAAATTAAATTGAAACAAATGTTATTAATTATTTTGATAAAAAGGGGATTTATATTAGAACGAGCAGTTTTTTCTACAGAAGTCAAAATAAAGAGTAATATTTTCATTTGAATAATTATAAATAATATTAGGTACAGGTACATACATATAAATGATAAACAGCGGGATTTGTTTGTCCTAAAGTGAAATTTTCAAATAACCTTCGAAAGTTTGATTATTTCATATTGAATGAAAAGAAATAAAACTAGATTTAATAAATCTTGATATTATCTCAAAATAAAATTATAGGAAAAAATTAATCTTAATATTAAAAAAAGATTTAATATAATAATATTATTATTTTTATCAATAATAAGACGATATTAAAATGTTTATCTTGAAATTATCTTGAATAATTATTAATTTGAAAGCTAACAACGTGCACTCATAAAATAATCACTAGTGATTTCATTATCTCTTCTCTTATAATCTTATAATATCGAATCATACTTATAGGATAAATTATGATTTTAATTCAACAAAAATAGGTTACATTTGGAACGAATTCTGATTTACACTCTAGTTTTGAAGCTTCATATTGAAGATTAATAAATACAAATGATATATAATATTCTGATATTGTATTTATTATATCGATTATTACAATAGATAATAGTCATTCATACAAGTGGACGAAACAAAGTTTGATATTGGTAATAATACTATTGGTTAATTACTATAATAATTAATGCTCATTCAGATGAGTGAACAAAGAAAAGTTTGATATTGGTTTGCGTATATGTGAGTGTTGATAATTTTTGTACTAGACATTTTTTGTTCATATTTATAAAGTATGATATTTTTCATACTTTTTATTTTTTAAACTTATTCTTCCAGTCAGTGATGTGAAAATATTTTAAAACAAAATAAACGATAAACTTTGAAAGTAGAAGCTTCAAGCATTAAAATAAACAGGTTTATTGTTATACGATTTTCTTTTTTTTGAAATTGATAGTTTAATATAAATTTATATAAATTTATATAAGACAGTTTATATCAATTTTTCTCTTTGAATTTGTTTAATTATTATGACTCAATTGACATGGTCCTTAAAGTTTTGAAAAATTTCAAGTTGCAGAATGTACATATTTAATAAAATTTATAATTTAAATGTTAAAAAGTAAAGTTTTTAAAGTGGTAATAATATTACTATTAATCTTATGCAATGTGAATTAAAATTTTGTTTTATATTTTTACATTATCTCCTCCTAAATTAATTTAAGTCTCATATTTACAAGTTTAAATATAAATATTTTATCTGAGTATTTGCCTAACCAAACTACGGATTTTAATAATATTTTTAAATATTATTTTAATAATATTATTCATTAATAATAATAATTTTATTATTATATTAATAATATTATTAAAAATATTTTGGAAAATTTTTCAGAGATTTAATTAGAGATATAACAACGCACACGTTACATATAATATACAAAAATATATAAAACATAGTGTAATATTTCCTATAATTCTTGATTCGTAAATTTCATTTTTTGAGTCATCTTCGTAAAAATATAAAGTTGCATAAATACCCGCAGTCTAATCAGTAGTGTTTCTTGAATAATTTGCAAGAAAAGATTAATAAACTCTTTTACAATGATCGTATATATATATAAATATATTTATATAACGCAGTTTGATGTCGATATTTATTTTGACAGATCTGGGATGACGAACTTGCTCATATCGCGAGACGATGGGTAGTGCAGTGCAACCTTCTCGAGAAAGATCAGTGCAGAGACGTTGGCAAGTAACTCCTACGGATATATTCCATTTTTCATTCCCCTTAGTCGTCCCTATCATTTTTCAATATCCACCGGTATACGTTCGAACGCGAAATTGTTCCGCCTGCAACGGGATCGATGTCGGTGCGTTTCTTCCTTTTATCTCGATTTTTCTTCTTCTTGTTTACGAATCCTCTCTATCAGTCTGTTTCTTTTTCTTCTCTCGTTGTTTGTTTTGGCTTCGGTTCAATTTGCAATCGTAAGCCGCAAAAAACGATAGTACTTCCTTGTAAAAGCGAAATTCCATTTGGTTTATTGCCCGCTGTTGGAGTGCACGCTTGATTCTGTCGAGAAACAATCGATTATTAACGTGCTTTAGATGTCTCTGAAATATCCGGCTGAGTTTTCAACGGCCTGAATGATATGAGGGGATACAGATTGCCGGCTAAATGTTTGAAGTCGTTCATTCGATTGCTGTAAATTATAGATTAGACACTGAATTGAAATTAGAAAATTTTAATTAATTATAAATCGAATTAATTATCTGCATTAATTAATCGTGTTAATTACAAATTGAATGCATTATTTACAGTAATTTAATTGCGCATAGCAATTTACTTTTTGTTGAAATGATCTTAAGAATGAAATGTGTGTTTCGAATTGGTTTGAAATTATTAATTCTGTTAATAATTATTATATTTTCCGCAGTAGAGCACAATTTTTATATTCTTCGTAGCCTTTACAAACGTTTAATCTATAATGCAAATCTTTTCCTTTTCTATGTATCATTTTATACCGTTTAATATATATTTCGTTTTCCAGGATGCTAGTAGTCATGAAAAGCGTGAAATCATCTAAAAAGAAATTACCCACTAAAACATAAAAAAATTAATACTAAAAAAGAGAGAGCATCAGTTTTGATATTTAAGAATTCTATATATTTTTTGACTAAACATAAGTATTATAATTCTGTAGAGCTTCGAAGCTCTTTTTTGATCACTCTTTCTAATCATTTTATTGTTTTAATTTATGTAAAAATTATATTTATGATATTTTCGTCATTCATAAACGAAACTTTGACTTACTAAAGACTTAAATATCGTCTCCTACATTATATTTCACCAATATTATATTTTTTTTTTTTTCTAGTAAAATTTCATATTTCAGCATATTTCCTTCTACAATTATAATAAGCACATAATAATAGATATGAAATAAATAAATAAAAAAAAACATCAATTAATAAATATTCTATACGAATGAGAAAGTATATGAGTATTCAAATAGACGTTCTTTACTCTATACTTATATTTGAAATATTCGTAATTATATAAGTTATATAATAAAATTTAAATTAATAATAAATATTTAAATTAATAATAAATAAAAATTCTGTATACTCAAGCTTTTGTAAGTATTTATAATAACTTATTTCAATGTTTACTTATTATTTTTCATAATTTTTCACTCACACTTTTCATACTTTCCACTTTACTCACAATTTCCTCAAATTAAAAACTTTGTCGCTCGTATCATTTTTCGCTCGATTTTCTTATACAATAGAGAAGTATACAAGAGCCGTTGATGCGTTACATGATATTCAAACACTCTGTGCATTCTAAATAACATAACGAGAGTTAATAATCAACATCTTGCAAACTATCAAGACTGGATTTCAACGAATGAGCCAGTTGCCTCCGGATGAAAAAATCCGATGCTCAAGAAGTATGTAGGTCATGCAGTTGGCCCTTTTTTATCAATTCAATGACCAGAATATCTTTTATTGAAACAGTCTCGGATTGAAAATTGCAGATGAATCACATCTAACGAGTCCAAAGTGTTGTAGTTTATTTGTACATTCTATTGCAAAAATTATACATATATATATATATAATTCTTATAAATCGTAACATTCTTTATATAAATAATAAAGCATAAATTGCTAGAAAATTTGACAAATCGACCAATTTTAATATAGAATATCACATAGTTAGCAGATAATTTTACGTTAATGTTGAGATATATGAAATCATAATTGATCAGTTTCTATTATTCTTGTCTATTATCTCTTATTATTCAAATCAATTTTCAACTTTATTTCTCAATTAATACAACGTATTTCCGGTTTTAACACGCATCGTCCTGTGTATCGAAAATAAAGGACAATAATTCAAAATTTGGATCAATGATTTAACAATCGTGATTCAGTTTACATTTTAAGTAATAATTGTGATTTTATAAATTTCCAAGTTTACTTTTAATTACATTAAATTTCAATACAGTTTTCTCTAATATAAAAATTAATAATCTGTATTAAGTTTTATTAATCTTTATTATTAAGTATAAATAACTATTAATTAGTTTTATTAATTTTTATTAAATTTTATTAATCTTTATTAAGTTTTATTAATTTTTATTAAATTTTTGTTAATCTTCATTAAGGTTTTACTCGACTGATAATCTGATTTCCTAATGTAAAAGTCATTCGATTAATAATCTGGTTTTATATAAAAGTCTGAAGTATTTGTATTTTCCGGTAACAAATGAATTTTTTTAGCATAACATTCCCAGCAGTTGGAAAATATCACTTAGGAATAATCGATGTTGCCGATATTATTAAACATGTCACTACGAATTCCGTAATTGTTGCATTAAATTTCAAATGCACGTGATATAAAACTTATTGAATAAAACATATAAACACTTTTAATACACACATATGCGTGTATTTAAATACAAAAAATAACAATCCACTAAAATTTTGTCAATAAAATACTTTCATAATAAATTGATACGTATCCTTGAAAAATATCAACGGATTAAAAAAAAAGAAAAAAATAAAAAATTAATCTATTTGACTGACAAAACAAATTAACTTCAGTACAAGGGAGGGGAGGAGGAACAATATAAAATATTTTTCCAAATTGCTACATATCTATTTTGTCGTATTATTTTATTGAATTAAAAATTTATTACATTTATTTATTTATTTATTATGTTATTTTATTGGTCGAACATTTAATTGAAATTGAATTTTCTCTTCAATCATAATTCTTATAATTAAGAACTATAATACACATTTAGAGTAATGAGTTTTAATTATTATTAATGATCAACATGTAAACATATGGTACTTAAAATTGATTAGCAAAAGATTAATCAACAATTAACGATTAAAGTTTTCCAACAATCTTTAATCGAAATTAATAATTACATCCCAACTTTAATTGTTAAGATTGAATTCCAAGTTCAGTCGTTAATTGCAATGAACAACTAAATATCTTTTAATCGTTAATTGCAATGAAGTATTAAATTCTTACTTCAACTAATTGTTAATAACAATTAAGTTTCTTTCAATTTTAATCGTTAGTTTATTAACCTTTATCTAGTCACCTTATTAACAATTAATTATTAAAATTTATTTTATACCGTTTTTTATGTATCTTTTTTTCACACCTATGAATCGAGACATCCTACGATAATATATAGAGAGATAATAAAGCCTCTATAAATCCCTGAATAATGATAGCAAAGAAATAAAGTTTTTTATTATTTCTCGTTTTATTTAACAAATCTCTAGAATAATAAATCTTAAAAAAAATAAGTTAATTAGGCTTGCTAGACATATGGATTGCTCTCAACAATATAAATTACGAATATGTTTTATTTCGATGAAATGTCTTAACCCGAAACTATTTATTTATTATTTTAAAATAATAATAATATTAGTTTCAAAATATATATTCAATTTAAATAAAATTATGATTAAATTCGATGTAATAACTAATAACTAATAATTTATAATTGACGGTTCTAATCAATCAATCGCCGATTTTTCAACAATTAATTTACTTTAATCAACGATTGACGATTAATTTTATTAATCATAAACATTAATCGATCAATTAAAGTAAAAATTTTAGTCCAACTTTAACTTGAGATGAAGATAGACAACAAAACGTAATTATTAGAAGATTACAGAAATTACAATTTTTTATAGTTTTTATTGAACAAAACTTTTCCTTTATTAGGTCTTGTAATTAAGCAGATCGTTATTTCATAAGATTTTATACAGAGAGATAAACATTTGAAATAGATATTTTAAACATTTTTCATAAAAACTTCTTTAAACAGATTTCATGCGGATTTAGATAAATTTTTCATAATTATTTCAAATCACGGCAAGTGTTCCATTTCCAAATAAAATGTATATTTTTTAACCATCAATCTCCTTATCATGACAATTATCATGTGATAAACAGCAAATTATATAGTAAACATTGTTTTCTGATTTTCATATTATCGACATAATATACATAAATATTTATTGTAAACGTTGTCGAAAATAAAACAATTTTTTCGAGAATTTCAATTTTTTTCTAAAACTTCCCTCTCTTATCTAAAACATTTTTCTTAACAAGAACTTCTTATGAACAAATAATAATTATTATAATATTAAGAAACTGATAGGAATTATTAAAATAATTTAACAATCTTGATTCGAAATAATCATCGAGTTTTTAACATTTTTAGCGTGCATTGTGTAATGAATATTCTAATTACTTAAATTGGTAAACGAATGATTTATCTACCTCATAATCATTACAGGAGTATCAATCTGCGTGTATATTTCTTTTGTAGAACGATTCGGTGTATGGCAGAACGTGCACGTTCTCGATATGAACAAGCTGGAAAACGTGACGTCCGCCGCGAGAATTCACTTTCATATTCAATCATGGTATGATGAAGTAGAAGACTTCGATTCCGCGGAATTTGGGTAAGTTTTTTGCACACGTACACTTTCGCGCGAGTTTTTCAAAATAGGTTTTTCATTCTTTTTCACGGTGATTATTTTCTTCTTCCTTTTTTGTACCTTCACATGTGTGTTTCTGTTTTTCTTTTTTTTTCTTTTTTTTTTTTTGCCTAGCTCTTTGTGCGAGTACACGAACTTCAGTATAGAGATTCATTCTGAAAGGCGTTATTCGGAAAGAATAAAAGTAAACGCGTAGCCGTGTATCGGGCCGATTGTGTGCATCGTGTTAAATTGAATTTCATTTGTATGGTCTTTCAATTTTTTGAGATTGGAGGGATTGTTGTGTAGTTCAGGATTTAATTGTTCTATTGTGGCCGGTATAGCAAGAAACTGTAATTGAATCGGCGAGGTAATTAACTGACTTCTCTATTTTTCTTTGTCTTTCTTTTTCTTTTTCTTAAAAATTGAACTTGCCACTGAATCCGTATTTTTAATTATAGAACGCAAAATTATATGTATGTATTGTTACATTAAATTTTACACTAAAACAACATAAATAACGCGTAGTATGTAATAAAATAAGGATTGTGATCTAGAAAATAGAAATAAAAGCAGCATAAAATACTTATTTTTAAAAAGTTATTCAAATCTGATTTACATTGCTTTCATTCAAATTATGAGGAATTTTTTAATTTGAAATCAATTTATTCTTTAAATCAATCAAGAAATAATTTTTTATCGTATGTGTATACTTTGATAAATTTACTATTATAATTGTTAAATGATAATTGTTAAAAATACAAAAAGTAGAAAAAGTATCAGAATATTTTAAAAGTGTTTCGATGTTGGAAATAGTTTACAAATAGAACAAAGTGTTTCTTATAATAAATCATAATAATAAAACATAAACCATAGTAAATTATAATAATTAATGTTATTATGCAAATATCTTTTTAATAAGAATAAAAAAATTCTTTATTTCAATATGCATTTATCGTTCTCTACATTAAATACAATCAGTCTATAAACTTTTTAATTCCTTTTTATAAAAATTTATGTGATTTATTTATTACTTGATGAAATGTGAGCTCAGCTTCAGAAAAATAATTAATAATGGATTAAATCTATAACTGATAGCTGATCTTCTCACATAAACAATAAATTAATGGTCGAATAAATCAGTATATTGTAGATACCTGATGATTAAACTTAATATCATCATATTTTATGAGTTTAATAAATGTATAATATTTAACAAAGGTATATAGAAATTATTTATAAAATTTCATTTTTTAATTTCCCTTTTCTTCTTTTAGCAGCTATAAAACAATGAATATTTGATTTGATTGAAGTATTATTGAGAAATTATATTTTTAACGAGTTTGTTTTAACTGTGAAAACAGTTTACTAGAATGAAGTACAAGATTGTTATATCTCATATTATTGAAAAATAATATGAAACATACGAGAAATAATAAACATATATCGCCTTATAACGAAAGTAACACAACTCAAAAAACGTGATTTTCCAATTATCACTAAAAAATATTACAGAGATAGTCCTTGATTATGAAAATTTATTATTCATAGATATTCATAATTTGACTGATGAAAAAGGAATTATCTTGTTTTTCCTGATTCATGTGACACTATCTTATTATGAATTTTATCTCATTATTGTGATATTAATGCATATTGATGAAATGAAAGGTATATTATTTTAAATTATTGTTTCTTTAATTAACAATATATTATCTAATTCTGTTCAAAACCAGATTTCCGTTTCTCTTAAAAAACATATTTTTCCGGATTATCATTTTCTCCGCAACGATGCGATGCTTAAGTGATTATGTTTCATTTAGGAGAGATGAAGATACCGTAGATATAATTTGAAAAATGAAAATGACGAGTATGTATCTTTTTACACACTCAAAGTATTTAGAAAAGCTGATTTGAGACACAGAATCAATATACAAAAGAATATATAAAAAAAAAAAAAAACTAAAGACAGAAAAATTCAGTAATAAAAAGAAAAGCATAATGTTTTTAATTATCGAAATAGACTGAAATGTTGTTGACCATTTAGATACAATTTATTATCATAAGAGTGGTTATTCCATTATCTGAAAATTCCATTAATCGAACACGTTTGTTAGTTTGGATATGGAAGGCTTTATTGTAATAATTAAAACTCAATTATAAACTTTATTTGTGAGATATAAAAGCTCCATTAATTACTGTTTTCAGTGATTGTTTCTTTTATAATAAGAAATCATTTGAAAAATGGAAAAGAAATGGACAGAATAATCGAAGTAGCGCCAAAAATTGTTCAACATCTTTCCTCTCTCTTCACTCCTACCGTACAGAATCAAAGTACCGGAATGGTTTGTTGAGAATTATTGATGCGGAGTGATTGGGGATTTTATCGATCCCGGAGGAATGATTGATCTTGTGAAAACCTAAAAATAACTGTTATGAAAAATTGATACAGGAGTAATAATACGATTTCGATTATGACTGACGTTACGTTACGTTAAAAAATTCTTGCTACATTTTAAATTGAGCTGCCGTGAATCGAAATAGAAAATTAAGTAACGAACAGAAATTTTAGCTAATTAGAGTACAATTCTTCACGTTTTGAACGTGTATGATTACTTTACTTTTTGAATTAAATTACAATTTAGATGTATATAATTGGTCTAACTAATCAATCTAGTTTTAATTTACTAATTAATCAACTAGCAATAATTAAAAGCAAATTATATCTTTCAATGTTATTACAAGGAAAATTATATAATTAAAATTGTAAGACAATAAATTGTATAATCAAAATTATTTATTGAATGCGTTTATAAGAAATATATACGAAATAGTAAGAGTATACTGGAAGTTTAATATATTATTTAATTTAATAAATTTAATAAAAACAGAAATTCTTCTTTTCCAATTTTGTAACACCATTTTATCAGTTTCTGGATAATTTTCTATTTGTATATTAGTAAAATATCATTAACAAAATATACAAAGTAATATTTCTTATGTAATCAGAGAATAACAAAATGAATCCATATATCTTATTTGTTAAAATTTATAACAATCATTAACAATTATTTCTAATAATCGTTGCTTAAGTTAATTATAATATAAGTAACTTTTTTATCTGATTTGTATTTTAAATAGTATTTTCAAAATATTCTATTTTGATGTATAAATTGTAATATATATGATATAATATACTTAAATAATCTATTTACATACTAAATAATTTTATACTATATTCTTTTTATAACAATAGCAATATACTTTTATATTTTATAACACAGCAAAGTTTCACAGTTTTTTATTTATTTTATTTATTTTGAGTAGTTTGTTTTGTTTTTTACTTATTTTATTTATTCCGATTTTTTGTTTGATAATTTTTTTAAATCTTGATGTCACAACCTGGAGAAATAAATTTTTGTTTTCTTACTGATTATTTTTTTATTTCTGATATTGATATGTCCACAACAGATTATTATGTTTTTAATACAATATATTGTAAATTACAGAACATGTTTAATAATATACAAGTTTTTTTTATAGAATATTTTATAGAACATAGGATTTCCAATGCATTAAATATCCGTTTCGAATGTGTTAAATATTTATCTTATTGTTTATTAATTCCTTATGAGTTAAAATTATCTTAACTTAACGTCGTGGCTAAAAACATATACATAAACGTTTAAGTATTTCCAGCTATACCTATATAAAATCCAAAGTATTGGACAACGTCAATATATTTCTTCAAGCAATTTATTTAGTATGTTTATTGTATTATCTAGGTATTGAAACGCTATGCATAGGAACGCTATTTGTACGAGTTCCATTTATTGGAACAAAATTTTAGTTAGTGTCCGATTAATTGAATTCCTATCGATCCACTTATTTGAATTTAAATTAATTATAATATATCGTGGGTTTTTATTATACATGTTCTGTCTGACAAACAACAAAATCTCAAGTAGACGCTTTTAACAATTCTTATTGCCATTTCTTCTTTTCAACTTATGAAAATAGTAACATGCATTAAACATTTATTTATTATTTATAAATTATCATTCATAATATTACTATTAAATTCATCATTCATAATATATAACTATTAAAATTATTATTTTACAGTAATATTAATTTTATAATATTATTGCATTGTAAATCACAATTACTCACATGTTGTTCACGATTTTATTGATAATTTTGATAATTATGAAATTATATGATAATTTCCGTACGAATTTAGTATTAACCTTGTATATGCATCTTGGGCCTGAATCGTTGATATCATTTATCAATTCCGTTTTGTTTAAATATTTTTGGCAACTTCTATTATCAGGGATGTCTCTTGGCCCATAATATGCTGCATGCTTCAGTTCTAATGAGCCAGCAAGTCTCAGTCGTCTTTTGGGTTTTTTTCTTCACAAATAGCGTAAATCTCCGACTGTGCTGTTTAAAGTTCCCGAATATTGATTTTGGACGAGGCAGCTCCTACGCAACTTCGACATTTGATATATTTGTTAAGGAAATCTCCCGAGTAACTTTCAAATAGTTTTAATCGTCGCCCATTATTTCTTGAAAAATTATTAAAAACATGGTATTTTCCAAGAATGTCTGAAACTTCTGTTAAGAAGCAGAAAGGAGATTGACACGATACATACTCAAATTTGATTTTGGCACTCGTGAAATACATTACCAACATTATTTAATTAAATAGTATTCAGATGGTATTGTTATTCAAATCGTATTGGGTAAGTTTTTCGAAATTATGGTCCATTTATGTTCATTAAATGAAATCAGAAGCGAATAAATTTATTATGGACACTAATTTTTGAAATTATGTGATAAATCTACTTTTGTTTGTCGTTAATTATGCGATATGAACGCATAAGCGGAGAGTACCCACTTCAAAATAATAAAATCTATCATTCTTGAATTAAATTCATGATGGGATAGTTCGATTTAGAAATTAGATTGAGAGAAATTTG